TTTAAAGTTGTTATTTTTGTTGTTTGGTAGGATGGAAGGAAGCGGGCATGGCAAGATGGGAGGAAACGAGTGTTACCTCTGTCCATGATTTCGGGTAGGAGCAGGCCAGAAGAAGGAAAAAGATGAGAGACTTAGAGGTCTTTGTAGGCTGCGATCTTGTCAATGCCTCCGGCTATTTGGCATGCAGATTTTGAAGGGTACTAGACAATGTAAACATAAAGTTTGGATGTGAGATATATAATATGAATAGTTTTGCATGCAAAGTATATAAATTCCTCATAAGAACAAGTACTAATTTTTATATTTTTTTGGGGGCATTTACATACATATCACTCAATTTATTATGTATTTATATAGGATTTATGTACTGAGCACCCCAAGATTAAAGCCTTCATTTATTATGCTTCAGCTCATTCAACTTTTTAATTTATTAAATATTCAATTTAAAAGAACCTAGCTAATTAATGCTCTAATTAAGTATATATAAATGTAAAATTTACTCATCTAAAATTTAAATTTTTATTTAAAAATATTTTACTATTAATTTAACTTGTCATAAAAATAGCCCACGAGATCTACAATCTTGTGTAGTTGTGTTTTGCTGACCAAACATTTGTTAGGGTCTGTTTGGAGCAGTTGCAGCTTATTGAATAATCTGTTGATAAGTCAGGAGCGGTAGTTATTACAAATTTTTATTTGTTTAGAAAAGTCAGACCGCAGCCAAAAAGCTGCCACCGCACCTAGACAAGTGCGGTGTGAAAATGTTGTTTTCAGGGTTTTGAAAACTCATAAGCTGTCAGAACGCAGTTTACCTAAACAACTCAGTTGCATTTTCAAAACGTCACAACACCAAGTCAGCTGCCTCAAACAGACTCTTAATTTAAAGTCAACAACTTCTTTCCACAAACAAACGTGGGACTCAATTCCACCATGCTCTTATAGCTTGACCAGGAATGTATATTACGGGGAAATTTACATATATAACACGAAATTCTATTACAAATTTTTATTTTTTTAGAAAAGCTAGACCACAGCTAGAAAGTCGTTACCGCACCTAGACAGGTGCGGTGTGAAAACGTTGTTTTCAGCATTTTGAAAACTCATAAGTTGTCAAAACGCAGTTTACCCAAACAACTCAGTTGCATTTTCAAAACGTCACAACAACAAATCAGCTGCCCCAAACAGACTCTTAATTTAAAGTCAACAACTTCTTTCCACAAACAAACCAGGAATGTATATTATGGGGAAATTTACATATATATACCATGAAATTCCTACGTTTTTACATATAGAACACGTAAACTTCAAATTTTCCATTAAAAAAAAATGTATTTCGCTTTTTGAAAACTAAAATACTGATATAAAAGAAAATCAAACCATAATATTTTCGATATGATATGAAAAATTTGGGTGTTATAAATGTAAAGATTGAATTTTATATGTTAGATGTGTATATACATAAGAATTGGGTGGTATGTATGTAAATGCCCCTATATTTAAAAAAAAGAAAATTATTATTTTTTTGCATACTCCTAATATATTTTTGTATAAAAAATTTTTAACTTTTCTTTTATGTGAGCTGACCAAAATAGAAATATGAGATAAAATTAGTGTTAGTCTCAATGTGAGATAAATTTATTGAATATTTATATTAAAACATGAAATTATTTTTTAAATATATAAAATAAATTGAAATATTTGTAATATTATTTAATTATCAATCATAATAAAACACACATTTCAATTTTGAATGATGTGCTATTTTTTAATTAATTTATTTTTATAATAGGTTTGCCCCCTAAAGGAAGGTGGTTTGTTTGGCCCAATTCAAGCAAGTCGGTCAACCAATTACTTTCATGAAAATTTAAATTGTAATATAGATATGATATGAAATCCATACGATTAATCAGAACATCAATTGTCTTAAGAGCATTTTTCATAACTGTTCATTTCTTTTTATAATTGTACAAAATATGACTCTATAAATATGAGGCAAAATTATGAATAAAAGAACTTTTAAGTGATTCTTTGCATGAAACTCTTAACTTGCTATATTCTCTCTCTCTTCCTTCACTCAATTTTAAACTCTTGGGGCATGCTCACAAAGGATAATTGAGGATCCAACATTCTAAAAGTTGGTGCAGTGAGTGTAGATATGTCATAGATGAGAAATAGAAAAGACTATGAAGGAGAAACTTCTCAAAGAGATATATTACAAATGGAACACAATAGAGATGCTACACAACTAGACGTTCATGCACAAGCCCAAGGCTTACAAGCCCAAATGACTCTCATGATGATGCAATTCTAGATTCTCCATGCAACAATCATCCAGAGGAACGATCATCCACCCTATTTGGAGGCTGAACCTTCGGGGCCCATCCTCATAGGGCCCCACCAGGGAACCCGCCTATTTCAGATAACCAGGTCAGCAACTAGAAGACAAAGGGGCAAGGCAAGTCCCGCTACATTGACACAGCTGAGTCTGCACAGGCAAATAAAAGATGGAAGAGCGGATGCGAGTGCCTATTTAGCTGCTCGCATGAGGGCTTTTATGCGACAGATTAAAGAAGCAATACCACTGCTCAATTAGGGAATGATCGACCCGATCGACCACAAAGACTCATTCAAATCATCCACCAGTTTGCTCCAGAACAACGAACTTATAATGTATCGTCTCTTCTTAACTACCCTGAAGGAATCTTCCCTTCGGTAGTTCAATGATCTGTCGATCGAAACCATCCAAAGTTACTGCGGTTTAAGAGACTCTTCGTTTCACACTTCTCAAATGTGCTGAAGCCGACAAAAGTTTCAGACACCATGCTTGACCTCAAGCAGGCAGAAAATGAGAGATGCGAGTCTACATCATCTGCTTCCAGAATAAGATGCTCGAAGTTATAGATCTGTAGCCTTAAAATGAGGTGTCTGAAGT